ATTACTTGTAATAGATATTGGGTCCGTGTAATATTGGTTCATTTTTCAATTACAACAATCTTCTCACTAACATTCGTCAAATCATTACAATGAGCAATCTAAAACAACTTTTGGTTTTATACTGTAATATTTCCCGCACTTATTCAATAAATTAACTTTAAGATTCCGATTCTACTGTTTACATTTTTTTATATGATACTCTGCAAAATTTNTCGTTTATTATGACTCCGCCTATATTGACCAACCGTTTAATATGAAGTAATTGTAATGTTAAGTTTGGTTTTCATATTAAATTCTCTATAGGAAAGTTTGAATTAATAATAACATTTTCGCTCATTCTTCTGACCCTTCTTATGTATATTGATATTACAATTCATCGTTCTTTTTCTTTTTCTGTTAATAAATATATACAGTTTGTAGTTTTTCTCTCTATTAAACTAAATAACTAACCAAAATAGAAAGTTCTGTATTTCTTAGACTATACTTTGTATGACGCCCGCTTAGTATGACGTGTTTGTCATTTCCTATGGATATCATTATAAGCGGATTTGACTGTATAAGCAGCAGGTTTACCGATTTCCTATACTAACAGTAAGTATAATCGTGTCTTAAATACCGTGAAAACCCAATTTTAACCAAAGAACGCTTCTATTTGATTTCTGAAGGTTGCAAGGTTACCATAGGAAAGTATTAGCGGAACATTAAACCTGTACAATTTTTCCATTGATAGATAGTTAAAATTTAAGTGTTCACCTGAAATATTTAAGTATTTTAACGAAACAAGTGCCAGTGAAACTTTTCGTGCATTTATTTCATTTATGAGCCAGTTTCAAAAAGTTAAGATTTACAACAATAGATACACTTGTAAAACAATTTTTGCGATTTTATTTTATTTATCACTTGTATCCTTGTTTTAGTAGCAATATTAGAAAGTGAAATACTAGAACACAAAATTGTAAGTATTATATGACGAGACCTTCAATAAAAAGAAGTCACTTCTGTGTTCGCGAATGGATTGTTAAATGTGTATGTTTGGAGCACGGCGCTGTACGGGTGTGAAACATAGACAGTGGGCGCGGCAGAAAAAAAAGGTTAGAAGCGTTCGAAATGTAGCATTACAAGCGAAAGATGAGGATACCGTGGATGAAGAAGGTTAGAAATGAAGAGGTATTAGAAAGAATAGGAGAACTCTATGAAAGTCATTAAAAAATAGTCGAGATAGGTCGGTAAGATACCTACTCAGGCATGAAGGTCTAGTCAGAGACATATTAGAGGCAGAAACGGGAGTTAAGGGTGTAGAGGCATTAAATTATTGTTTGCAAATAGTTAAGGATGTGCTAGTTTTAGGGAAATGCGAAGATTAGCTTAGAATAGGAAAGAGTGGAGATGCGTATTCAATCAGTCTTAGGACTGAGGACCTTATGATGATGATACATGACGGGAAAGAAATTGGAATACGTAGATACTATTTATTAAGAAGCAATTTCTGTGAATCAATATGATTCATTCAAAAAATAAAAGAAAGTAAATAATAAAAAATCAACACTAGATGTAAACTGTAATAGAGAACCTCGACTAACGACTATAGATTAATAAAAATTTCACCCTCCAGACATTTGGTTACAGCACTTTTTAATTTAAAGGACAAAATAAGAAAATATATGTTTGTTTCCATTAATTACTATCTGGAATATTCCAAATCTAGTAACAACTAATTATTAAAATTCCAGGTAACTCGTTAAGAATTTTTTGTAATTCTTGCCTTTCGTATTTTAGAATAATTAGGTTGTTTATGAGTCTTTCAAAAGTTCTGTCAATAATATAAATAATTGGATTGAAAGCATTTTAGCATGAAGGTTTATTTAACTCTATTAAAGATTCAGTGATGTTAGTTTTATTTTATTAGAAATTATATTTTCTTCAGGGTTCTGAAAAGCGACATTTGTACTGAAATCATAACAAGGATAACGTTTAAATAAAACATTGATGCAACTATAACCAAAGAAAAAGAAAATAAGTGTATTTTATATACTTAAATTCTATCGTTATTACGATTTTAGTGTAAACATTTTTATTTTAGAACCCTGAAACGTTCAAAAGAAAAAAGTAATCTACATTGTAAATACAAAGACCGATAGATAAAATAAAGCGGCGATTTTCTGTCTCCCTCTGTTTTACTTCTCATAAATTTTTAGTGTCTGTATATACTATGCGTTTTTGTCTATACCATCCTGCGACACAGAACAATTTGTAGCGAGCAGTATATAGGGTGTCACTGAAATAAGTAGCAATCTTACATGAAGTGATAAGGAATTATAAAATAAGAAAATTAAGTAAATGTTCGGTGGCGCGAAAGTCCACCGATTTCGAGAAAAAACATATTTGAAAGTGCAGACGAGGGCCAGTCCGGCCCTGGTAGGATCACGTAGGGACATTGCAACGCCGTATTCAATCAGCTGCTGCTAATACAATAGTCAACACAAAATGATGCTAGTGACACATAAAATGTCGTATGTATCCTCGTCAACTCTAAAAGACGAAATTAATATGGACAATTATTATATTATATGTAATCTGTTAATTATCTTTCACTGTAGTTGTACTGAAATATGTACCGATTTTTATTAGTTAGTATTTAGGAATCGTTACTTCTCTGGTAAACAGATTAGTTTCATTCTATAATAAACAAGCAGGTCTTCATTTTTATTGTGACACTAATGTTATCGTTTTGTTTAAGTTGTTAATGACAAAAAAAATTAACAGCAGATTGATAAAACAAATATTTTCTTTTCTAACGCTACTAAATTTCTGTGTACACCCTTGCAAATATCATCTGAATCGAATCGAATCGAATTGAATAGTATCGTATTGGTCGAGAAAATGCCCACTTCCATCTTTGTATCTACCCCGTTGTAAAAATGATTTATGGCTTTAGTTCTTAATGATGTTGCAATTTTCTCTTACAAATAATAGATTACTAAATATTTGATATATGTTTTTTTGTACTTTCTCTCTCTTCTCTCTGTAAAGTTTCTTGCATAGCTTTTTCTCCGATGCGAAGCATTTTGTTACTCTCTGTGAAGTGTCCAACAGTAATCACCCATCATGTTTACATTCCACCTTCCTTGGCATCGTTTCTCCATTTCTTTGATGTCCTGATGAAACTGTTCCCCTTGCTCTTCACTGACATCACCTAATTTTTTAGGAAAAAAGTCAAGATGGTTGTGCAAAAAGTAGACTTTCTCGTTATTTTGTTTGGAATCAGCACACCAAATTACATAGAACTTAGTTAAAATTATTAAAAAAGTTTTTTTGTCGTTGGCCTGTGCTATTACAGGAAATACGATACCAATGGGATCGAATAATTTGGCAATGGAACTTAGAATAACTCTCTTAGTTAACGTAGTATCAGCGGTAATATTTTCGACTTGGTAATTTAACTTGGATTCCACCATAATCCTAAAACCGTTGAAGTTGTCATCTGTTCAAAATTATGCATTATCGATTGATTTTGTGGTATTTTCGTATCAACGTTCGGTAATATTTCGGGTGCATTACTTGCCCATTTACTTAATTTGAAGCAGCCCTTACCTAAAATGGCAATTAATTGTTGAATTAGTTCAGTCGGTTTTTCTTTGCTATCTTCTCCAGTTAGCACATCGTCCATGTATCTATCTGTTTTTAATTTAAAACACGCTTCAGGAAATTCTTCAGAACATTCTGATATTAATTGTTGAATGCAGCGGATAGTGGTGTACGGAGAATTTGTAAAACCAAAAACTAATAGTAATAGTCGATATACTTTTATAGGTTCGTTTTCAGAATATTGCCAAAATAGTCGTTGATAATCGTTGTGGTCTCGGNTTTTTTCGGAATCAGCACACCAAATTACATAGAAATTAGTTAAAATTATTAAAAAAGTTTTTTCGTCGTTGGCCTGTGTAATTTTTGAAGAAACACAAAATTCGCGATACTTTTTGAACAGACCTCGTTGATGCCGTCCAGCCGGTAATCGGCTACCAGCCGCCTATAAGGATTGGGACCCGGCGACCACTTGATGGTCAGTGGCCGTCCAGCCGGCTTCGGCATTTATGCTAAAATGTGCATCTTCCGACCAGTTTATCCGGGATCTGATCACCGGTTTCAGTTAAGTGTGAAAGGTCATTTATGGAGGCGAAAAGTAGAGATAACTACTAGATATTATTACTTTTTTATTTGAAGGTAGTAGGTAGACTTTCCATATTCAAATAACGCTGACTCGAACTTTTTAGTTTCTTTAATAAAAAAATATTTTCTTTCTGTGACTAGTGGTCATTAATCACTTAATAACGATAGGAAATTTCTGTAGCAGTCGGAACGTCGTGAGTAATAATTTTCAATAAACGTATTGACAAAATAGTATTGTATGAAGATATATAAAAGTAAAACTAAAATACTGGTAGGCAAGGGAAGAAAAAGTAGGGAAATAGCGAATATAAAGACAGGAGACGAAAAATTAGAAGAAGTGGCTGATTTTAGGTATCTAGAAAGATAAATCAGGATGGAAGGAATAGTAGTAGTAGTAGGTATAAAGCAGAGGATAGTACAGAGCAGAGCCGCCTTCAATAAAAAGAAGTCACTTCTTTGCTTGCAAACGATTATTTAGAAATTTGAATTGTTAAAGTGTATATTTGAAACACGGCGTGAAAGCAGCGGAAAAGAAAAGGTTAGAAGCGTTAGAAATGTGAATGATGAGGATACCGTGGATAGAGAAGGTTAGAAGTGAAGAGGTATTAGAAAAAAATAGGAGAACAGAGGACTCTATGGAGGTCAATAAGAAATAGGCGAGATAGGTTGATAGGACACTTTCTTAGGCATGAAGGTCTAGCCAGAGACATATTAGAGGCAGAAACAGGAGTTAAGAAGGCTAGAGGTAGACCTAGACTAGATTACTGTTTGCAAATAGTTAAGGACGTGGCATGTACTAGTTTTGGGGAAATGCGAAGATTAGCTCAGGATAGGAAAGAGTGGAAGTGTGTGTTCAATCAGCATTAGGACTGTAGACCTTATGATGATGATAATGATGAAATGTAATAAACATATTGGAGCCAGCTTTATTTAAACATAGGTATTAATTTATTTTTGCAAACCAGTAAAGGATCCTCTACCTGATTCTTTAAATGACACGCAGTTTACTATTCACTGCGACACATCACAACTCCTAAACGTTCAATTAATCGTTACGCTGCTTACTTAGTTATCTATAGCGGCGTTACAGTTGGTCAGAATTTTCAAATTGTGATATCTATTTAACTAATGGATAAAAGAATGTGTCTGATAGTGAACAGGTATAAATTATTTATAGACACTTAGAAATGTATTAAAATTCTTAAACGATGATTGGTTATACATAGATATTTAAAACTCCCAAAGGAATACCTACTTCCATGATTATAAAAACGATTTACGAAGTATATTTAGGCATCGTTAAGTAACTAACTAGTAGATATTTGTTTTTTGCTGCATTCGATCGCGTAGTTTGTTAATAACAATAGACGCTTGATCAGTTTACAAAATAAACTTATCCACCTTGCATATGAATGTAATTTAGCAGTTTACCTTTCACAAATAAGAAAAAATTGATCGCAATAACAAACGGTATAGATTTGTGGTTGACACGGTCAACACGATGCCGTTAACTACTGCTAAATCAATTGTTTATCTGCTTCATGCTGGTAAGTAAGTACAATTAAGACTAACACCCTTTAGATTGATCAGTTCTTGTTTGTTTGTTTGTTTGTTCTAAATTGCTCAGTTTGGTAGAAGGAAAAGTCTCAGGAGATCTAAGGCAGCAATGATAATAGACGATATTCTGTTCTATTAGGAACAATAGGTTTTTAGTTATACTATTACAGAAATTCAAAATAATAGAGCAGTGGTGCTCAGAGCAAGTTCTACTAAAAATTACAGTAACATAAATTCAATTTTTTTTTGTTTTGGTGGAAGGGGGGAAATCTTCAAGACACCCAGGTCCTCGGACCTACTGCCTAAGAAACCCCTCTACCTCAGACCGTTATAGGACCTATCGGTTTAGATCCTCATCAGCCGTGTGTTGTGTTATTTGTGTTTGTTGATAATGTTTTTAGTTGTTAATGGTATATGTGTGTGTGTGTTACCTGAGTTGGTTGGGTAGGTTTTCCAGGTAGTCAAGGTATTCTTCTTGGAGGTCAGGAGTGTTTGCCAATAGTTTGGTAGGGAGAAAGGGGATTTTATTTTTGGGTTTGTCTGAGATTCTGCGAGGGATGTGGGTTGGGATTTTTGTTGTGATAGGGTTTTCGTCGTCGATGTCTCGCTTGATGAATCTCTTTTGTAAGTTGATAATGCGTGTAGGAATCGGTTCGATTTTAATGTTATCATATAGAATGTTCGAAGGAAAAAAATCTACCTGGTCTCGCTATTTTACGTAGGATTCGTCTTTCTTTTGTGAGAAAACTGTTTGTGTGGCCCGGTGTAGCTGTCGTTAGTGATGTTACCCGATAATCTATTAGAAGTCTTGTAGGTTTTGTAGGTGAGAAGAAGTGTGTCTGTGTTGCATGTTTTTATACGACCGTTAAGTAGTATAATGTTCGTGGGTTTAACAAAATTAACTTTTACGATTGATAACGACAAAAACTATTTATTTACACTGATTATTAAAGAACTTAAAAACACTATTAAATTATTACTAAACTTAGGTTATGAATTATTCTATTTATTTACGCAACTGTTGATATATCACTATTCACTGCGCTATTTATGTCACTGCTGTCACTGTCAATTTATTTCTGGGTTCACTTCTGCAACGGTCAATTTATTTCTCCTCCTTTCAGCGATCGTCTCTTCCTTTAAATACTCTTCTGTTTACTTTCGGGAACCTTCTAGTACATCCGGATAGTTTATTTTTTTTCTTTGAATTGCTTAACTGCTTTTCCAGAACGCAGGTATGACACACACATTTACAAATACGGCGCACATGAAGAAAGCCGCCCGCGGCTAGTCGGCGAATCAATAAGCCGTTCACGCAAACGTGTGCCCGATCGCACACAAACACACTCGTGCTCGCAACAGTAGTGAGATTAATTTTGCGCGATTGCGTACCCTATTGAGTATGTTTTTAATGTCTGTGCAGGTTCATTGTGTGTGTTAGAGTAATTCCTAGAGATTTAATGAGTATTAGTGAACTATCTAATAAGCTGACGTTGATGTCGTCCGTTGAAAGAGACTTTTTGGTGGTGAAATTAGGGTGTATGAATAATATTAGTTGTCTTTTATGTAGGTTAGGTTTGATGCGCCTTTTTCTGAGCCACAGTTTAAATTGACTAAGTTGCAAGTTAATTTTGAATTACACGATTTTGTGTTTATTCCGTATGCCCAGTTGTGGGATATGGTGACAATATATGTTGTAATAGTGGAGCAAGAGTCGTGCCCTGTGGTACGCTCGCGGTTAGTGTAAACGTGCGAGAGAGTGTTTCTCTCTACTTTGACTTTTGACGATCTGTTTGTTAAAAACGAGTGAATTAATTTTACAAAGAGAGGGAGTTTTATTTTTAGTAGTTTTGATAGAAGCCCGTTATGCCAAACCATGTAGAAGGCTCTTTCGAAGTCTAGCGCTACTGCAAAGGTACAACCACCCGAGTTCATGGGAGAGATTGCTTTTGTTTGTAATTTGATTATCGGGTCAAGGGAGCTTACTTCCTTTTGAAATCCGGCTTGGGTGTTTGGTATAATGCTGTTGTCCCTATAAACTCAAAACCAATAACCCCTTAGTGGTGCTTTAGCTAGTATAACAACAAAGGAAAATAGTAGTCTAATTTGGAAAATTGAAGCTAATTCGTAGGAAAAGCGCCCTGTTTGTATGATTTTCTTTTATGTGGGCTGTCACGAACATCATGTTGAAGACTCCAGTAATAGCCTGTCATCATATGATTGTCTCATCTACCCTGATATTTTTCATCCATCACATTCACATTCTGGTGGAATCTTTCTCCTTATTCCTCACATAAATCCCCAAAATTGTTGGGAAATTTGTCCAAGTGACTATAAAGGAAGTGAACTTTAATGCTCATATTAGAACAAAATCTTTTAACCTATGAGTTAAACTATTTGAATCAACTTTAATATATTCTTTTCTTGGAACAAAACATTTTTAGTATTTGGAATTTTCAGTTTACTTTACTAGATTTTACCACTAAATATATAAAAAAAAAACTTTACCACTGCTTCAAAGAGGGATCTACAAGAATATCCCTGGAGTAAGTGTTTTTGGTTCCCACGTCTGGATAGCACATGGTTGAAGATAGAGACAAACTAATCCATTTTCGTTTGTTTTTTACTTCTTTCAAGTCCTCTGTAGGTACTACTTTGTTTGCTAAGAGGTTAATTTATGCAGTGGAGGAAGAGCAAGTTTTCATAACTCTCACAGGTATCGACACTATTTTCTTTGAAAATTATGACAAACTCGCATGTATGACAAACTATTTCGGCATTTAAGATAATTATTGTGTCGTTAAATAGAAAAATTTGTGCTCAGAAAAATTATTAAAAAAAGTCAGAATCAGATAAAATGAACAAAACCAAAACTTAACCCGCAAAACCAAAAGCAAGACCAAGACTATATCAACAAGACCAATATTAGAAGTATTTGAGGAAAATCAACACCAAGACCGAATATGCAAGACCAAGACCAATACTTAGACTGGGACAGTCTTGCTGTTGGTCTTAGTTTACTTATCACTACTCCGCAAACAGAAATAAAACTCTGTACTTCGTTATTTTTGGTGATTGTTAATAGCAATTATGATTCTTATTATATCTATTTTCTACTTTTGTCCTAACTAATAATATAAGTGCAAATGTAAGTTTCTTTGTTTGTTTATTACCATTTCACGAATTAACTACTGTACTAATCATCATGAAATTTTGTACACACATTATTAAGGGTATAGAAAAGAACATAGGATTCCTTTTTTCGCTTCTAAAATTTTGACATTTCAAAAATTTTGACACCCCTCAAATTATGCCGCCCTAGGCCCTGGCCTCATAGGCCTAGGCGTAAATCCATCACTGCACAGGTAAAATCTACTATTTCATATACAACTTATGTATACTACCAACGAATGTCACCACACGTAACAATAAAATATACCTATTGTGATTACATGAGGCCTCAATACTTCCACTTTCATTCTTGGGGCTGATTTTTGTCTTCATATTGTATGCATTAATTTAATTATCAGTTAAACATCAAAGAAAGCATAGTAGAATGAAGATTCGAGCGATAGGGCCGTGGTCTAAGTAAACTATTCTGTCCAGACGTTTCGTCAGCTACTGCGGCTGACATTCTCAGTGGTAGTGCTGTGTTTACAAAGTGAACAACCTATCTCGAAGTCTCGGCAGCGATCCAGTCAGATCCCTATGGATTCCGGCCGTGAAAGCCTTTGTTCTTATATCAAAAAAAGCATTTTTTTGGTCGATTTAGCATCATTTGACGTGGGATACGATCAAAAACCGATGAGCTATCTGTCCAGTATTTCGGACTTTACCCGGACCATAATATTCTAGGAAACCTTTCTTTGTATATATCTGTTTATTGGTGACACTCGAATTGAGCACAGAGCGTATGCAGGTAAATAAGTAATTATCGAGGGTTTGTTTATCAGGAAAGGAATTGAGCACAGGGATCATACTGGTAGCAAATAAAATTACCGATGAGAAGAACAACATTAACGTTGTAATGTTGCCGAATAAAACTAGTTTGTAAAGGGCGGAAGAAATTAATAAAAACAAGGGACTACCCTTATGCAATTATAGTTATCATTGTCTTGTACAATAAATTTCTAACCGTAGTTTATTGCAACCCTTAGTCCATTGTATAGTTAAGTTCAATTATATCCCTATCATAAAGTTTACAATAGTCAGTCGTTCTCGGAACTATTCTCACCAAAATATGTACAATACGGTTTCAGTTTTCTAACAACCAGTTTTCAAATTTTTGCCCCCTTAGGTTAAGTAATTTTTATACGCAAAAGTAAGTCATCAACCATCATTCAAAAAAAGAAGCATATCATCTGTTCACCAACCATCATTGTACATACAAATCAATAAACAACATCAAAAACCATATTCAGTGCATTCTTAATCACATCATCATTCATTATCAACATCATTGTCTTATACTATTATAAAATAGTCAAGCACGAATGAGAAAATAAAGTGATTATTTTGATAATAATCCCAACACTACCTGACTTTGAAATCTCTCATTAATTCTACCTACCACCTAATATTTTAAAGGACAAGTTTCAGTCGAATTCTCTTTGGATATTTGGTCTCCCTGTTGATCGCATTTATGTCACAATGAAAATAAATGAAGACTAAGACGGAAACACGTTAACTGCTACATAATATATGTATTTGGTTGGTGAACCAGGAAAAGGAAACGCGATTATATCTGTAGAACGTTTACCTGCATGCCTACAGACACGTATTTTTCATCGTAGATATGCATCAAACTAATCTTTTCATTAATTAATTAATAAATATAATGGACTAAATTAAATTGCAATTATAACAGTAAAATTGGTCTCACGGATAACGGAAGGTATTGTAGAAGATATAAATGAAAGAGGGAAGTCTTCATATAAAATAATCATGATGGTAATTTGATATTTGATTACAAAAGAATTAATCTTAACGT